AAAAAATTTTGTAGCCTATTTACTAAGAAAGCTCAACTTTTGTTAGATTATTCCACTAAAGGTGGGTAAAAAGATCCATCTATGTATTTTGATTATCAAGAGCTACTCATTTAATTGAGTGAAATCTCATTTTAAGAAACATAAAAAGAGAACGATATGGAATATTAAAGAAGGCAATATGAGAACATAAAAAAGATATACTACCAAGTTAATGATTTTTTTGTCTGAGCGAGTCTTGTTTCTTTTTTAGAATGAAACAACGTCAAACCAAAATATACAACAAGTATTTGTGATTCCTAAATGGGAGGTGACCTAGTCATACCTTCCAACACGATTACCTCACTATCACTTGCTTTTGAGATCCCTGCCTTGACGCACATTTACATTAATGACTGTGGATATGGTCAACAACTCTCCCATCTGAGATACTTAAAAACCTTTAAAATTTTGCTCTAAGTCATGTTATCAAAAACCTTTAAAAAATATATAAATTTATCGACAAATATAAGAACCTTGGAAAATATATTAGGTAACTAAAACACATTTTTGATTTCAGAGTTTAAAAATAATATAAAATTAATAAATATTAAACCTACCAATGCCACGTCAACCTTCAGCTGGTGACACTAACAGAAGTTTAACTAGTTTTTAAAACTTATGAATTAAATAGAAACTTAAACTCAAACTTAGGGACTAAAAATGTATTTTACCCATTTTTTTTTAGAAATTATTAAGTGAGTGGTAAGTTGTAGCCCCTGTCTAAAATTCAAATAGTGAAAATAAGTTTTAGTTTTAAAATAATTTCCTTTTGCTCCATCTTCACATACGTAATAGGTAGGGACCTATGAAATAAATAGCCATTTTATGCTTCGATTATACCAACATTGAAGTGAAATTTGGTTAAATTATACTTTTTACATTTATGTAATTTGATTCCAAAACTTTCCTCAAATTATACTTTTTACACGGTTCGGTCTTTGGCTTTGTCCAAACCGGAACACAAACCAAACCGTTCTCTGACCCTTGCTCAAAACTCAAAAGGACCGCAAAGAAGAATTACGGCCAAGGTCTGAACCAATTTTGAGTGTTCAGTGCCACAAGGAAGATGAATCAGAGGAAATCGGCTGCAGGAACAGGAAGGCCGTCTGGAACCGATGGCTATGATTTTTCATATCGCATGGTCGTCGATTCTCGTAAGCTTCCTCTCTTTCTTCTCCTAATTTTTGTTTGGCTGGTGAGAAATCTTGTAGAGAACAGAAAGTTGAACAATATGGGGAAAAAATGTCTTTGTTTGATACTCAATGATGTCCTGTTTCCGCTTAGGCCGATGGCTTAGTGGATGAGGATCATTTAGCTCTAGTTTTTCAGGCATTGAATATGGAATAGGATTCATTTAGCTATTTTAACTGTCTTATTGGAACCAATTTCGATTTTTATGATGGGTTGTTCTAATTATAGGGTACCAAAAGGTTGCTAAAGGCAAATCTCGTCTCTATTCCCTGATTTCAGCTCAGGTACACACATTATATTGCTATTTCAGAAAATTATGTGTTTTGCTTCTTGATTGGTATGATGCAAAATTGCAGTATCTTCTAATGGCATTCTATATGCTTTTACGTTAACGATGTTAAACAAAATGATCACCAATTTTTGTTTTCAGGACATAATTCATATTGTAATTTAGTGGTATAATGCCGTGTGTTAATTTAGTAAAAGTGTAGAATTAATTTTAGATACACCCTAACTAACTATAAACCAATTCTATAAATGCTATGAAATTGTAATGAATACATGTAGGTTTTTCATTCTGTTTCAAGAAATTGGGGTTAAATTATGATTTGGCATCAGATTGCCTAGCTGCGAGTGCCGTAGCCTCTGTTCCATTTCCAGTCAAACTGACGCTATGTTGATGCTCTTCTTGTGCCAGTAGTGGAAAGGCCTTGTTTATTAACAGAATTGGATCTATTAATGAGTGTTAAGTTTGGTTTTAAGAAAAGACTCTTTAAATCCTATAAAAAATGGTGTAACACTTTTCATAAGATAGTAGTCCAATAAGGCCTTTGTTTCTTTACGTTCACCAGTACATCCACATATGTAATTTCTTAGTTCCACCAAATTGTCTTCAATTTCTTGTGATATGAGCTTAATGTAGGGCTGATCTTGAGAGAGACTGATTAATTCCCGCTGTAGCTAACGATACCATATTATATATATCTCAGAGGGCCCGTCTGCTGAAAGTGTGGTGCTGATTAAGGTTACATTACAATATGCTTGTTACCTCAGCATCATGAAGGCCTATGATCTGTGATCAAGAAAGTCTTCATGTAATACTTGGTTCAATTGTTTCTGCTAGGTTCTCCCATCTCTAGTTTGACTGACTGGGATGTCTTTTTTAATTACTAATCTTCCTCTATTGAAAACCATGAAAATTTATCTCTACTTTTCGACGTCAGGCCAAACCAAACTGGAAGAGTTTGGTAGTGACATGAAACAACTGCCCCATCCAATGATCTTATAATGTGCGCATGCGTTAGTGATTTTGGTCTCTACTTGTTCAATAAAACGGGAGCTGATGCTTACCTCTGGACCTCTTGTGACTGTATATTGTTGTACTCTAATTGGGTTTGTTTTATTATATTGCAGGTTATCATTCAATTATGTGGAGCGGTATACTTGTTTATATTGACATCAAAGAGAGAGACTCTAGATAAACTTGCTATTTCATCTGCCATCACTGGTTTCTTTTCACTGCTTGTGGGAGAACTAGGTTGCTTGTTATACTATTACCTTCTGTACCTAATTTCTTATAAGTCTTTATCTGTTTCAACAGTAATGGCTGATATTTTCCTATTGTTTTATTGAAGGTCGAAGGCACAGCCGTGCAAGTTTTTTGAAAATATATATGATTGCATCATCTATAGCGCTCTTACTACTTTTTGCTAATGTCTCTCAGGGAAATTATACGTTTGAGGTAAGGAAATTTTGTTTGAGCACATCTGGGAACAGCCGTATTGGAATTGTTATGTATGCTGACTGGTCTAATAAGTAATAACAATGAACGAGAAATTGAATTGGTTGATAAAAATTAAAATACTCTCCTTACATTGGGAAGAATGCACCTATTTCCCTTCAATAAGTATGCCTTCTCCAAGCTTGTATAGTTGTCAGGACTTCTAGATTCGATGTTAGCTTTGTTACCATTGGCATCTACACTTGAAAATGTTGGGAAGCTTCAATTTATTTGCTTGATTGTATTTATAACACTATAACCTGCCTTTGATCACAGCTTCCATGTGATAATGTCTGTTCTGAATGATACTTTATCTTAATTCTTAATTCTAACTGAGTTTTGGATTTCATGAACCATTTAGGGTATCGGGGATCTAAGTAATTGGCAGAGAAAGAAGCTCGAACTTTTCGAGACGATCCGCATTTTCCTCGGTGGGTTCTTTGTTAGTTCTTCATAAGTGTATCAATTAAGTATATTTCTTGTTAAAAAAAAAAAAAGTGTATCAATTAGGTATCTCCGAGTATGAACTAACAGTGGAATTCTGATATGCCTTCATACAGGATCTCTGCTTCAGATATTTGCAATGAGCACAGTGATTTCCCTCATTGGTAACATGTCTCCTCCAAAACGTACCTCTTAAATAGTTCTGTACCAAATTAATGTCCTCCTAACGACCAGCAAAGATAGCTCTTACTGCTTCTCGATTTTGACTCGATGCTAAAGAAATATTGCGTTTGTCATTCTAGATCGTTATTGAGAGGTTAACTATTTTGGAATCGGATGACATTGAAAGTTAGAGATTAAAATTGGCTCATCAGTAAAAATAAAATTTTCAAAAAGAATGCTAGTGATTCGGGTTATGATTTTATTTGGTTCAAAAGTTTCAAAATGTGACATTTTAGTCTCTAAGATTTTGAAAATGGTTCTAAAGGGTCTCTAAACGGTGACATTTTGGACTAAATTATTACATTTTAAACCTAGGGATCAAAGAATTTTAACTCAAAGTTTAGGGATTAAAAATGTAATTTATCCAACAATATTTGATGGAAGTGAAGTGATAACGTTTGAACTGATTGTAGATGCGATTAATTGTGTAATAAGATCCACTTTTTACGCAATTATGAAGTCCTTGTCTGCTTAAAATACGCATTCAATTATTTTGGATTGGTGTTATTCAGCCAAAAATATCTCTGCGAATCTACTTTTCTCTTTTCCTTTTTATTTTTTCTCATCCTCTTTTTTGGCAATTAAGCTGGCATTTTACGGCCACTTGCATTAAAAAATCATCATGATTTTTGTTCACATAACTTTCCAATTTCCATTCTGGACAAGTTTTGGTTAATTTTCACATTGAAATAAAAATTCAGTGTCTTTAATTTTAATCGCTCATGAAAGGGACCCAGAAAAGAACAAATTAATAATTAAGGTCCCATTCAGGATTGATTTTTTTTGTTTTCGAAACTGTTTTTTTTTTCTTTTCAAATTAAATCTGATTTACGATTGCTTATTTCATAATCATGAATAGCTATATTCAGTATTGATTTTGTGGTGTTCACGTGTTACTTTTCAAAATAGCTTTTTGAATAATATTGTTTAATTGACTTGCCTCACGAGTTGTACATTTTTTATTTGTGATGAAGATGCATGAAAATTGATCCTCACTCACCGGTAATGAAGCAAGTATTTTCATTCTTCACATATCTTCAATTGCTTTGATTTTATTTGACAAGACAATTATAAATGAATTATTATTGGAAAAATCAGGCAATATTAAACTGGCTTGATATTTATTAAAAATGTATTATTGTAAATTTGTAGACTCATGAATTGGAGGAAACTTTCAATGTCCTTAATAATGATTTTTTGTTCTTTTTTCTTTTCCTTTTTAAACTTCAAATATACAAATATCTTCAACTTTATAAAAAGGTTACTCTCTAGAAGATGTCCACACAGACTCTAGTTAACTTTAAATAAATTCAAAAGCCAATCATACAAGCTGCATGCTAATTATGAAGAAAARACCTAAAGCTCCACACAAATAACCCTAATTAAGCTACTACTATTTTGGCGGATTTTGCCTTTCACATCTATACTTATGATTTCAAACCTCACCCATTCCATCGAAACCACCTAAAAAATCATTCAATAGAACTATCACAATGTAGTTCTCCCCTCTTAATAACCATAGATTTGAAATATAGTTTTTAACCAACCGTCCTCCAAATAATTTCTCGAACAGAACTTGAATTTAATGGAGATCAGCGATGCGGTTGATCAAAGAGAGAGCATTACTAGTTAGCTGCGCAATGTTGACGATCCTAGACCTGACGGTGGCCTTAACGCCACCGTTCACGGCCTTCCCTTGAAATCCATCGCTGCACGTCGTCTCGTCGGTGAGGGCGGCGCTGACCCACGTTTGGATATTACTCATGACCAGCTCAAAATCTGGGCCTCTAAGCTTCCCCATCTCAGGGATGGAGCTTGAGAGCGAATCCACCGAGTCACTGAGCTCTTCCAAACAGTCCTTTAGCGCGGAGACGTCTCTCGAGGGGACGCCATGGGCGTGGGAGAGTTTGAGGATCTGGGCGGCGGCGGACTTGACGGAGGAGAGAGAGACGGAAAGGGCGGCGGTGGCGAGAAGGCGAGGGCTTGTTTGGATGGAGCTGGCATGGACGGAGAGGGAGGAGAAGCAGAGGCGAGGGTAAGTTGTGGAGCTGCATGAGCTTTTGATGAACTCTGTGCTGCTCATGGGAGTTATGGCTGCATGGCTACCGCTCAGTTTCAATACTAATGGAAAAACTACCAAAACAAGAACCAAACTTTGCTTACAAATTGAGAAACTCATTTTTTTTCTTCTTTTTTGTTTGTTTCTCTCTCTCTCTCTCTCTCTAATTGGTGAGAATGGGGAGTGGATGATGGGAGAGAGGAAATGGGTTTTGTATTTATAGGCCAATGAAAAAGGTCTAGAGCATGTCAAGGGGTCATATATGTGTCTATCTCTAACACAAGTGACAATCTTATCCGTTTTAAAAATACCATTTTAATAAATAKTTACTAATATTTTAAATAAAAAATTAACGTGGTAAAATTTAGAATGACTTAGATTATTAATGTGACAATTAATATATATTTTTTCAATTTTGCTCTATTCATTATCCATGGAGTTTGTTTTTCTATTGTCTACTCAATTTTACCTTAATTTCTCTCTTAAAAGGTGCAAGTGTTTTTGTTTCACCTTTCTATTTTTTCAGACTTAATCTAGGCAAATTTTAACCTTAATTACCACATCGTTCGGGATTCTATCACAATCTTTGGGAGGATATAAATTTTTTTAAAATAAATGACAAAATTTAAGAATACTTTCTTGTAATTTAACTTAAATAATATTTCAATAAGGGAGAGAGGAAAGAGGGAGGGAGGGGCTTGTTTCATAGCCGACAACTTTGGGTCCAAAAGCAAAGAAGAAATATCTTTTATTGCATTGAGTCTTGAGATATTTTTAGATATTGTATGTATAATTCGTTTTTGTTATAAAATATAAATTTAGTACTGGTACATTATTGATATATTCCATAGATTTTTAATGGAAGTTGAAATGAAAAAAATAAAAGGTCGAGTCTCTCCCCTCATGTGATGATATTGTTATGGTGCTGTTGTACTAGAAAAAATTGACTTTTAAAATTAAAGAAATATTTTATTTTTATCTTTAATACTAGTTCCATCAACAACTTTAAAGAAAACTAGAGATGATATGAAATTGTTTTAATCTTTAATAAATTTTAATGCTACYCATTACAAAGATAATTATATTTATAATATTGTCTAGATGACGTGAAATTTTTTTTAGATAAAATCTCTCTCACGTAACTGTCACCTATATACACAACTCTCTCAGTTTCACGTTACTCTTTCCTTCTTCATTTCTTGACACTATAGTTCATCACATCACAACAATCGCTCACTCCTTAAATTACATATGTCATCACACCTCTTAAATTTGGACTCACCCATTTAACTTTGCTGTCCCGCTCTCTCCTTTTTTTTTTCCTGCTCACCAATTTGCAACAAAAATGTATTATTGCAAAGACTTGCAAGTTGATTTTAAAGGAAAATGCTAGATTTAAGATAATTATCATTTTGCCAAAAAGAAACAAAAAAAAAAGGATTTAACATATTTGATTTGTAGTTCTATAAAAAGGTTTGTTTTGTGGGACATCCATATTTGCAACTTGAGCACATGTATTTGGGCCTAAAAGTGGACCAATCATATATGAAATTATTTTGAAAGTGGCCCTCTAAACGACGCCGTTTGATAGTTCTRATAAATATAGCTTTCAATCAACTGGCCACAAAAGAGACGGTGGTCCAAGACGACGTCTCTGTTTCATCTAATTGCTTTTTTTCCCCCTTAAAGAAAAGAGTTTTTATTTGCCTAAATACTTAAATTAATACAATGAATGTATTATTACTTTTACATGTTAAATAATTTAACATACAATATTCATAATATATTTCGATAATCTATTAGATAACTTATTAAGATATCTATAATCAATAAATATTAAAACTTAATCGARTGATTTTTGGTATTTGTACATATTAATAAAAATGACCACTTTAAATATTTATGTGATCTCGTTCTCTTTTACTAATTTTATTTTGAAAGGAAGGAATTTCAAATCATATTATATGTTTTAACAATATATACTATCTTTTGCGTATTTAGTTAGTTGGTTAGTTGCTGTGTATATATATTTCTTCTTATCCAAAAAGAATTAGTATTTTTTTTTTGTATTATTTGAGAACCAATAAAATACAAATACTCAAAATTTTACGTTACTCCAAATAAATAAATTTCTAGTCCTCCCCTCCTTTTGTTTCCTCTCATCATGACAAATTACGTGTTATCTTTTTATTCTGTTTTTTTTCTTTTTTTCTTTCTTCTCTTTAAAAATGGGAGCGAGCAATAAAATTAATATTCAAATTAGTTTAATTATCTTAATTTTTAATTAATAACTTTTCGTTCCATAATGATTATATGCTTCTTAAAAAAATTGATGACTCTTTATAACAATTGCTTCCGTTAATTTTTTAATTTAGTTTTTAATTTTTAGCCAAAGTTTGAAATAAAAATAGATTTAGAAAGATTCTCTATATAGAGAGAGGTTATAATTTTAAAATTATATTATATAAAATGAATTTTAAAGTTTTCAATAATCTCAAAATTCAATGGATATTGTTAGAAGAGTACAATATAATTTAAAACACAGAATCCAGTTGAAAAATGGAGCTTTCCGAGTAGTTCAATTTTTCGTCTAAATGAACAATGACAAAAAAAATTTGTTAATTTTCGGGGGCCCAAACGACGTCGAATCAATCAACTTGCGAAGTGTGCAAATTAAGCGTTTCCAACTTTGCTTCTCAACGGCTGCTTAAAATATTTTAAATATTGTAACCTAAAGTCTAAATTGTACAACAGATGTTTTCAGTTTTTATATCATTTTTATGCTCTAGAATTGAATTTTCTCAATATATAGTTTAGAAATTAATGTACGTTGCTCCTTCAGAGATTGTAAGTTCAATCTTTCATCCCACGTCTGTAATGGATATAATATTAAATTCAAAGATATCTTCAACAATATATAAGACTTTCAGGTTGAAATTAAAATTTAGAAATAATTTATTTCATGTATGTTTAGATTTAAAGTAGCTAATACCATTTTGATGTGAATATAGACCAAACATTTTAACATTATAACAAAAGCGATTATAGTTCAAGGGTAATTGGCATATATCTCAAACCAAAGGGTTGTGGAATTTGATCCTCACCCCATGTGTTTGTACTAAAAAAACATCTAACATTGTAAGTGTTATTAATTAGACTATGTTTTAGATGCCTAATCATGTAAATTGAATTCTAAAAGAACCTTGAACGGGATATTGATTAAAGTGAATCTTTACCGGTATCAATGTAAGAAACATTTAAGTTACTTGAGGTCAAAAGGATATCTTGGTGACCAATTAAAAGCTCTGAATTGTCCTCCTAGAACCCTATAAATTGAAGCAACTATCCCTAACACTAAAGTTTTGGAAGGATCCTTGCACAAAAATAATGTTATTGTGATTAGGTTTTGTATATTTCTCAAGAATGTGAGTCGAAAAAATGAGATTTATTTATTATTATTTTTACAGAAGGTCCCATCAACAAATTGATGTGTGTGTGGAGGTAAAAATATTTCTGTCATCCTAACATTTTTAGGGGGTTTTTTATTTTTTAGAATTTAGATAGTTGGCCTCTTTCGATGTCCATAATATTAGATATCTTGAATTATAGATGTATAACATATTTAGATAGTTAGCTATCTTTCGTTTTGCTGGATTATTTATAAACATGTGTAAGAATAYTTGGATTGCTACATTTGTTTATCAGAATCAATTAAAATTATATATTGTTCCAATAATATTCTTACCCGTCAACCTATAATTATATGTTAACATGTATGTTTTTTTAATATAATTTAGATAATTTGAATTCATATACAATTTTACTTTTATTAATTTAATATTATATTGTTTATGTCAATTTAGTTTATTTTGAGTGACTGTAGAGAGAATAAATTAAATGAAAGATTGCACACTAGATTTCAGTTAAAATTAAATTAAGATATTATATCGTTTGGCTAAAGTTTATTTTATATCTAAATATAACCTATAAATTGTATTTAGCCATGCTATCAATAAATTGAGATTTCTAGACAAAGAGGATCCACTCAAATAAACAATAACTTTCGTTCTCCATAAAACATGGTAAATATTTTCTCATTTTAGATGGTAGATCTTGCATCACTCTCGAATTATTTTATTTTATCCTAGGAGTGAATGCATATTTACTTTTTGGTTATAAACATTTATTTAATAATCCTTTTTTTTTTTTTCAATGAGTTGACCGGTCACAAAATTTTGAATGGATGTTTGAAATGATGAGTGTAACATTAAAAACATTTTATCAGCTGAGTTGAAAGTATCTTAATTTTTTAATTAATGAAAGAGAAATAGCGACATAACAATTTCCATATATAATATGATTTATTAAATAATTCGAAATTAATATGTCTTTAGCCTTAAACTCAAATATGGAGGGTGAGATATATTTCAAACATACAGAGTTTTGAAAAATATTACTAATATTTTGACCATTTAAGTCATATTTACAATATTTCAAAATTACTTATTATGCCATGGATCTAATAAAAATATTACTACATACTAACTTAAATTTTAGACCATGAAATACGCTAATTACTAATTCACGAAGAGTAGGATAGAAATTTGATTTGAGAAAACCTTTATATATATATTCTCAATGATGGAATTGAAACTTTAAAAAGATGAGAAAATGGACAGAGTCATTTTTGACAAACTTATGCATAACTTAAATTTTATTAATTCTCAAATATATTGCATGTTCATTGTGGCTAGCATGTCACATGCACTACTTATACCCCAATCAGAAATATGAAGAAATTAATAATACGAAAGAAAAATGGGTTTACCTATATGTATAGGTGTGACAGGTTCTCTTAATTAGATGGACAAAATCATTTATAAGAAGTGTTGAAATTATTTGAGGTTCCAAAGCAATTGTTCATAAATCCTATTCAACCCCCATGTGACCTGCTGAACCCAAATCAAAACACCCATTAAAAAATATCACTATATTAATATCTCTAGATATTTTCATACATATACCACATTATATTAATACTTCATTATTTTTCAATAATACGTTCTAATTTTAACAATTAATTTAATTTTCCTTTTGAAATTTAAATTTTATTTTGGTTCTTGACTTTTTATAACATTCTATTTTTTCTTTTTAAGTGGTTAATGAAAAATTAATTGCGGTAGACAAAATAAAATAAATAGAAGTGTGAAAGTTTTATTATACTAACATTTAAAAATCTGATTAAACGTAACATCTGGACGAAACTGCCCCTCCGTTACCGTACCTTGACTTCGTGAGATCTGCAGCGTTTCACGTGCAGTAAAGTGCACGTGACACGTGCGTGGTACGCTGGATTGACGGGGATAGTTTGACTTTGTAGCGGCCTGATTGACTTTTTGGGTGGGGCACATGGCTCTTCCCTAGACCTGCACGTCTCAGATTCCTTCTATATTTAGCATTTTGTTTCCTCACTTCCAAATCATTCAATCTCACGCGCCCCGCCATGTTTTTTTGTTTAAACCGCCAACTTTACTTTGTAGTCAATTTCAGGTTGATCACGGTCAACCCTCAAAAATATTAATGATATTGAAGTTAAATCGCTGTGTGTTTAATTTAATCTTGATTAAATTTCTCAAAAGCATCTCAAAATTTATCAAATATTGACTACTTTCTTACGGGGCACATGTTTTATATAAGCCATTTTTTTTCGTATCCAAAAAAATAATTATTAATCTTTAATAATGTTACGCACATTTAGAAGATTTAATCAAAAAATAAAATACAGTAAATTAAAATATGAAGACTAAAATGAAGTTTGAAAATTTATATAGCAAATAGAATTAATAAATTTGTAGTCTAAAATAAACTACTATAAAAATTAACTTCATGAACCAAACATCTTCTCGAGGGGATTTCTCTATATTTTCAAGGTTTGAGTATTTCTTTTTTAGCTTTCAAAAACTGTTGAAATAAATCTCTAAAATGGAAAAATAAGTGTTCACTTTAGTTTTCATTGAATGGTTTCATAGTTTGAGCAAAACCAGTTTCCGGTTTGCTTATTTATGTTGCTTATGTGAATACTAAAATGGTTTATATTATTTTTTATATTTTATTTACACAATATATAACAGTCTTCAAAACTTATTTTGTAAAATATAGAATGAAATTTATTTAAAAAGTCTAATTAATAGTAATAAATTAGTAAATATTGAAAACTTGTCTCTTCAGGGGAAAGTTCTTCATTAATCCAGATGTAAACTCATTTAGGGCAAGTTCAAAATAGAAATGTTCATATCCCAGTACCCTTTTATGCTTGGGATTAACTGGAAGAGTAGGGTTGTTTTTTGAAAAATAAAATTATTAAAAAATAGTTTTGAAATTATTTGACTTCGTGTAAAATACATACAATTCCATTCCACTCAATTATTAACTCCAAAATGTTTAACAAATTTTATTTATTTATTTAGAGCAACCTAGTTTTCCAATTAATCTCCATATGTTTTGGATCTCTACGTTAATATTGTTTTTATGACAAAAAAAAGAAAAAAAATATTTCATTAACGAATTCTCAAAATATTTCGACAAAATGTTTGAAGATCCCGAATAAGAAACATGAAGAATAAAAGAATATATACGTCTTGTTAGAGGATATAATCAAGTCCAATAGACATGACTCGTAGCTTGGACATGTACTATCATGTGTGTCTGAGCCTCTGCTCGGATACTTCAAGGACGAGGAAGAAGGGCTTGTGCATGACAAAGTAAACATTGTGCTTAGGTTGGCTTCGATTTTGGAAAGATTATAACCGATAGCTAATCCACTAACATTGAACATAATGGAAAATTCTACTGTCATTAAGRATTTCCCAACAAAATGACAGGTACATTAGTGTAGTGAAAGAACCTCGATTCCAAATTACTCCCCAATTATATAAAAGGTGGAGTCGTCCCACCTTAAAAAAATAAACAATTTTTCATACTTAATTTTAATTTGGGTTTGAGATGGTACATGGTCAAGCACCACAATGGTGCAACGCTGTTCTGCAGGTTGATATCAATGTCACGTTAGACAGAATCATGTATCAACCCATCTTAAACTCAAACTCAGGTTTATTATATGATATTGACATCTTAAATTAATCCACAAGAAAGAAATGTAAATCATATTTAAAAAATTAATCTAATTGGAACACGCTAACTAGTACAATTAATCATGTTTATTTGTAAATATCACGTCTCCTAGATTAGCTTTCAGATTTCACGCTCCTATTCGTGCATCTCAAAGACCGCCATGTTTTTAGAATGTAACAAATTATTAATTAAACCAAACCCACATGTCCATACATTTTTTCATGTTTCTTGTCTTCTAAATCTTAAAATCCTCACCTGTTTGTCTCTGCCTCTATAAATTGAAATTAATCTCCACAGACAACCCTAATAGATTCTACAGTACACACAAACAGAACAGAGATGGAATCTCAAACCCTAAAATTAAAATCCTTGCTAATTATCCTTTTCTTCTTCCTTTCAACCACATTACTCCCCACCTCCGCCGTCGCCTCCTCCGCCGTCCGGCCGCCCAAAGCCCACATCAGAAAGGCCTGCAAGCCGACGCCGTATCCACGCCTCTGCGAGGCCTCCCTCTCATTGTACGCTTCAGAAACCAAACGAACCCAACAAGAGCTCTGCAGGGCGGCGCTGGTTTCCTCCCTCAAAGCTGCACAAAACGCCACCTCCACAATCTCCACCATTTTCCGACGAAGGGGTCTCTCCCGTCCCTCGCCCTACGAAGCCGAAGTCATCGGAGATTGCACCGATAATCTCAAAGACTCCATCGACGAGCTCCGGAGAGCCTCCGCTGCCATCAAAAGCTTGTATCGCACTCAAGATGTTGAATTTCAGGTCATTTAACTTCTACTCAATCCGCTGCCTATTAATAGCGGTATATTTAATCTTTTATTTATATTCTTAATACTCTCCCCTCCAAAGTGGAACAAGACTTTAAATATCTTAAGGTTGACGTTGAAAATGTCAAGATCTTACAAATATCTTAAAAACAAGCGATTATGATACTAATTTGAAAAAATAATATTATTGTAAGGATTTTCTATTATGATATTAAATTACTACTAAATCTAAAAACTTTATAATACAGATAAGTAGCATCAAAACGTGGGTGAGTGCTGCAGAGACGGATGTTATGACTTGCACCGACGGGGTGAATGGCGACGGTGGCCGGAAAGTGAGGTCGAAGGTGAAGAGTGAGGTGAAAAAATCTACTATGAATGTAATAAGGCAGATTAGTAATGCGTTGTCTCTCATCAACAACTTAAAGTACAAATAATATAAATTTTAAATAATGATTAAACAGAATCACAATTCACTTGTTACGCGTATAAGTTTATATATTGATTTATTATGAGTTGTGAAACTTGTTTATTAATTGTTTGTCAACACCATAGATTTGCTTTCTAGTTGCAACTTTGATTTTGTTTAAAAGCGTTTAAAAGTATAAAATGTTTCCTTTTGTGAGTGTTCTATGTTTAATTTCATATCATTTACTTATTATGTATAATATTTTGGTTAAATTAAGATTACTATAAAGTTTATGTTTATCCTTGGTTCTAATAATAATTTGACTGTCTTTATGCTTGAAGAGTGATTGTCATGTACTTTGATTAAAGCTCCTTTAATTCGAGAAGTAATAAAAATAGACTTGTAATAAGTTATTTATCGATGTGAAAAATAAACTAATTTGTGATGCGACATTTTATTAAACAGACACGAGAATTATCACACCCTCATTTTATAAAATTATTTTGATTTAGAAGTGGAAGATAATAAAGCTTTTAAAAAGACTATAAATTGAAATGAGATACAAAGTATAAGTATTAAAAATGTAATTTAACTTACTAATTTCTACTTTATATAACAAAAATAAAACAATATAACCTACAAGTAACTATTCAAACGAACTTTAGGGCTTTGTTTTTGGGAAATTACTTTTTACTTTTAACGACTTCCTCAACTTTTATATTTTGCACTATGCAATAATTTTATCAATCATTCGATGTTAATGATATCTCACATACAAATTACCTTAACCAACTCGTTAGCTCAGTTAATAAAATTGTAATGACTAAATACGTCATTATTCATGAAAATAAACTACAAACCAATTAATATTACAAATATACATGTAAGTAGTGGCATATTCACTAAATCAATGTTTTAACGGGTTTTGTGTGACTTGACATGACAAAAAAATTAGATATGTCGTGTCAACATTTTATTAACTATAATTAACATGGATTTCATAGATGTATATTATTTCAAAACTTAGCAATATATAATTGAAATTGTTATAAGTTAGGAATTAAATGATTGAAAGAATATCTAAATTTATAATTTAACATAAATGTTATCTAATTGAATTTTTAATTAATTAAGCTGAATTCTGGTAATATTTTCACCAATTTTATGCTTGCACACTTCCACTTTATATTATCGATTGATAATCATTCCTTTTTCTATTTCTTTATATATGTAATTTATTTGGAGGTTAAAAAGAAAGACCATTTATTTTGATGTCCTCTTCACCTAATTGCGGTTATAATTGCACGGATCTTTTGAATTTATTGTAAAGTTAATTTATTAATTAATTAATAGATGGAGATAGAGGTAAAACTTTATGTTATATTAATAAATGGCTCTCTTTAGTTGATAAGATCGATTTATTACTTTTTGTTATTTAAAAAAGGTTTTTATCTTTTTGTTACTAATACTGAGATAAAACTTGTTCGTATTATTAACATTTATGGTATGTTATAGATGAATTTTGGGGAAAAAATACTTTTTAAATTATCAGGAAAAAACTTTTTCTGCAAACATTTTTTTTAGAATTATTAATTTAAATTATGTTTAATATAGTTTCTTTTAAGTGAATTTAGATAATTAAAAGTGCCCTTTAAAAATTTACCATATTTAGTAATAAAATAAAAAATAATTTTAAAAATGGGATAACTTCAAAAATTCTTTTTAAAAAAACCATGTCTAAAATATAGGTTATTATATTGGAAGATTTTGCGAAGGAGAATACATAAGTTATAATGACAAAATATAATATCTTCTATTAAAAGAAAAGGAAATTGGTAGACAACTCTTCATTTATTTATGAAATTTGAAAATATAGATAATCATAATTCAGACTCACATGCTGTGGTCGTTTCATGTTTATCCCTTTGGTCTTCTCAATTGATTCTTTTTCTATATATAAATATTTTATTTTTGTTTTATTCTTTATTTTCCATCTGCCCATTCCTTCAATCAAGGGAGGGAATGGGCCCTCCTCCCCTGTCCTTTCCTTGGCGTTTTTATTTTTCATCCATCTTTTTTAAAGTCGAATCCTCATTTTCATTTAATTCAATTCTGATCCTAAATTTTGAACCTCCAACCCCCACAAATTGTTCAATTTTTGTTAACATTGCGAAATTCAACTTTCAAATAAACTTAGTCTAAAATTTAAAAATGTTAAAATATTAGTTTGGTCTCTATTCTCAGTCTTAGTCTACATACTTTTAAAAAGTGATATTTTTTTCCTTTAATTTTATTCTTAATCTCATTTTTTCTATAACACGATACTAAAATCAATATATTTCTTAAAATGTAAACATTACTTTATACTAAAAATTTTCATTAAGTATAAAATTTATATTAAAATTTTACAAAAAAGTTTACAAAAATTGACTAAAATGATCACTTTTTAAAATTCAAGGACCAAAATAAATAAGTTTAAATACAGGGACCAAAATAAACATTTTCAAAATACAATAACTAAAATAAATCAAAACTAGAAGTATAGGAACCGAAATATTATTTTAACCAATTTAAAACAAAAAATTTTAGAGTGTTCTCAAAGAAAAAGAGGTCGTGAAGGCAAAAGAGTGCTCTAGTGCATGCTTAGGCATGCACCACAATGCGAACTTTGTCAAAAATTTATTGGCACACAGATAAGTTTCATGATAAGATAAGGAATTTACTTTCCATCACTAATCCTATAAAGATTTTTTTTATCTTCATCCTCGCATGGGAATTTGGCCAAACAATCCCTAAGAAAAGTAAAAACAGAGGAATTGGGTAAAACTTTTTTTAGAGTAAACCAAAAGAAGGAAGGGGCCATTACAGTTGCAGAGAAAAAGAAAATACCTAAAAAGCAGAGAAAGCAAAGCACCATGATTACTTTACTACGATTACGTTTGCATTTGCCACATCAAAAAACACTCACTCTCTTAATATACATCAAATTCCAATTCCATGGAGATTTCTTCCGATTGTGACCCGAACAACCGAAGCTCAATTCAATCTCAACCTTGATTTTCAGCGTATTTGCTAATCAGAGCCAACGCATTGCTTATGACTCGAGAAACATCCACAATGCGAGCCCTAACCGAGGACTTGATTCTCCCATTCATGGCCTTCCCGGAGAATCCATCGGAGCAGGTGTTCTCGTCGGTCATGGCGGCGCTCACCCACGTCTCCACGTTGCTAATGTGCCAGAGGAAGTCCTTCTCGTGCGCTCCATGGACGCGCTTCAGTTCCTCCACCGATTTGCTGAGCCGATCCACGGTGTCGGAGACCTCCTCGAGACAGTCCTTCAGCGCGGCGTGCTCCCTCGGCCTCAATCCCTCGAACTTGGTGAGCTTCCAGACGTGAGATCGGGCGGATTGAGCGCGGGAGAGGCTGACAAACAGAGCGGTTTGGACTAATTGGCGAGGATTTTGCTGGATGGTGGAGGCGAAATTGGAGAGGGATTGGACGCAGAGATCGGGGTAAGTAGCGGCGCTGCACTTGGATTTGATGAAATTGGAGGCTCCGGCATTGCCGGCGGCGCCGGATGTGGCGGCGACGGAGAGAATCGAGAGGAGTACGAGAAGAAAGGCGGATCTCGCCATTGAAGGCCTGTGGGATTTGCAGAAATCGAAAGGGGAAGAAGAAGAAGAAGAAGAAGGGTTTGCGATGTCAAAATTGAGGGTTCTGAATTTATAGAGCAAGGTAATGAGATTGGCTATCCTGTACGCGTGGCCCTCGCCTATTGGATTACTTTTAATTTCAGGTTTAACCAAACAGAAATTAACGTACTTTTTTTCTCAAATATAATATAAATGTAATTTTTATTAGCATATTTATCCTCRCGGTATTAAATATTCATCATCAATGTCGGGGTTAAATCCACATTTCATAATATTATAAAAAAAATCGATAAACAAAAAATAAAATATATAAAAACTTCACTTAATATTAATTTAATTTTTTTAACCTATTTTAAAATGTTGTAACTATTATTTGTTAACTTAAAAAAATTTTCTAGTTTTTTGTTTTTATAATTTTTCTAGAAATATATATCGATATTGACATTTTATCGATAATTTTATCGACATTTTCATGAAGTTGAGATCTCAATATTTCGATTGACATCGACATCGACATTTAAAATCTATCCTATCAATAAATATCTCTTAATTATATTCTTTTTAAGCCTTTGAAAATAGTTTTTAAAAAATATACATAAATTTTATAAATAATGCACCCCATAATATTTTTATAATTAATAAAATAATATCAATTGGCTAAAATTATTGTATTCGGGATCGGGAGTACGACAAAGGGGTATTATTGATATTACGAACAATATGAAATGCTTTTTAAATTTTAAATTATTTTGTCCTTTTGTAATATCTCTCAATATTATTATTTTTTTATTTGACAGGAATATCTCTCAAGCTGTCCCAAGATTGAAAATAAATTATATACGTCATAAAGGAAAGATGCATTTTTTTTTTGACGATTTCTTTTTCTTTTTTCTTGAAAAGCTAGTAGAAGGAGTAATTACCAATATATGAAAAGTTCTTTTAATGGTACAATGTCACAATCCCCCTTTTAGTATAGATAATTATTTATATCTCTCGGAGCGGTTATTTATATCTCCCGCCGCTTAATTGATTAGGAGTCACTTCTTATTTATGTTTTCTCTTTTAAACAACGATCCCTCCTTATTATTATCACTCTTAAATATTTTTCTCATCTCATTCAAATAAAATATAGAAAATAATGTTACAATATATATGTAATTTGTATTTTAAGTTTTATTAGGGTCTCTTTAACTATATTTATTACATGCAAGTTCGTATATTTTAAAATATTTTATTTCAGTCCTTTCATAAAAATTAAACTTACAATGAACAAATTTTTCAAAATTCAAATTAAACCTATAAAACATAACTTTTTTAGTGGTGTATAAAGTAATTAGATTTGTCAAAATTTACCATTTTAGTATGAATGAAATTATCATTGAAAAATGGTATCTTGTGATTCTGTCGGGCTATTTTCAATATCGTCTCTTTCAAATTTCATTTTCGTAGAGGTATAAGATCTATATATCCATACTACATGTATCATAAAATCATTTTACAATCTTCGATGTCTATTCCTATGTTTTTTACGAAAGAGAGGATAGTCAAAGATGGATAGAAAAATGTGGGTCATTGTAGAGTAGTAAAAACTATACAAAAATAATTGTAAAAGAAATTTAGAATAAAAATTTAAAATATCATTTCAAAAAGGAGGGAAAGTCAAAGTAAAATGAATGGGCAGATGAGAATATGATTTTTCGTCCAATTTGTCAAAGTAATAAATATTTTCAGAAAGAAAAAATATGGGAAGAACCATTTTCTCCTACCGACATTACTCAGACCAATTCAGGGCCTTGTGGGGCCCACCTTTACCATTTGTTTGTCGGCTTTCACATTGTCTTATTTTATTCGTTTTATTTTTATTTATTATATTCAAAGTATAGTGAAAGAAAAGAGTTTGAATTCCACGTGATCACTTCAAAAAGCCGTATAAGATAAGAATTATCTTTAAAAGAGAGAGAGATTAACGTAGAAAACCCAAATCAAATTCTTTTTTTTTTCTTTTCTTTAAATATTCCCTTATCACCGCCCTTAATTTAGGAGATATGTCAATTTATCAAGTATTAAGTTTCGTTTTTTCATTAAAAAAAATAGTACGGTGGACAAAAATTATGTCGCAAGTAAAATAAAATAAGAATGAACTTGGCTTATTAAATTTAATACAATATAAGAAGAAATATATATTTTTAGATAAATATAAAAATATATATATATTAGTACAAGAAGAATTTGAATACATGACTTCTTGATCGAAGATAGGTGTCAATTATCACTAAACTAAGTTTGTAGACTAAAACGAAATAATTTAAAATATTTTATAATAATTCAATTTTGTCGGTTAAGACATATATTTTTGACTAAACCCACCTTTTAGTTTAAAAAAAAAAACTAAATTTTGCATAAACCCAATTTATTTATTTTTTCCCTTACAATTTGACATTTTCCAATTAGACCTCCTCCCCGTTTGTCAATGTTAAAACTGGCACATACACTTTAAGGTACTTGTTTGGCATAAATATAGAGGAAAATTATGTCACTTAAGGAGAAGAAAATAATGTATTTCTTTTTCCGATTTTTAAGGGGTTGAAAAAAAATTATAATTTCTTTTATCGTTGAATTCTTTTCTAAACTTCTCTATGCTTATTATCAATTAATTTTAACATTCACAAATTAATGAATTCTAAATTAGAGAAGAAAAAAATTATTGAACAAGCACTTCTTCTTCTTTT